ATTGTTGTTCTTTGTCATGAAGAAGTCTGGCCTTTTCAGATCCAACTTATTTCATTTAAATGGATTGGCTACTGCACCCTGGAGGTTTTAAGTATTTTTTATTTATTTCAAATTTATAATATTAAATTTATTTATTTATTTAATAATATAAAAATTATTATAAAATACATCTATATTACTTTTTTTATGCGAGTTTAGTAATAGAAGGAATGAATAGTTTGTCCACGGTACAGGACATTTGTTATTTTGTGTGAAATAACGCTAAAGCCCATTCAATGGTGACATTCTGTTTAAGTACATTTTCGGACCCTCAATGAGCTCACTCTCTATGTTTTTGGTTGATTGATTTACTACCAAGGCACTTTTCTAAGTTTCTACTATTGCCAAAAATCCACTGACAAGGGCAAAAACGCCATTATCTAAATATTATTAACTTATGATATTTAAAATTAATGTATATCTTGAGTTAAGAGCTTGATTTTAAAAAAATAGAGAGGAGAGGAGAGAAAAAAAATAGAGGATTAAAGTTTTATTTAATATGGTTGTAATTTTTTATTATTAATTTTAATTTTCATAATTTTTACAATTATTGAAAATTAAATTAAAAATTCTGTTTAAAACAAAATTTAACATTAACAACTAAAAATATCAATTTGTTTAATAATCTTAAAATTATTTTAATTTTTATTTCTCTAATAATCATAAAAATTTGTTGTAAAAACACATAAAACTAAATAAGTTTTTTGTTTAGAGTTATAAAATTTATAAAAATCAAAACAAAAAATCAGTAATCACAATCATAATCAATAAAGCTTAAATTAACAATATCTATTGTCTCTATTCTTGAATGAAAAGAAAAAAAAAAAACCTAGAATACTATTTAATTGCAAATTAAGATAGATGACATAATTGATTTACAAATTACATTTCTTTTTTGAACGAAGATACAAATTCAAATGCTCTCTTTCACTCAATAAAGCAAACACAACAAGAAAAATAAAATGAAATGGTCCGTGGTAATTTTTAGAATTAATTACTTGATAATATCATATTATATCACACACGATTTTAAAAATTGAAAGATTCTTTAGAGTGCCAAAGCATTGTAGAAACTTAGTACCACAAAATTCTAGTTTATTGTGACCGCACCATTAAAACCTACAAGGGAATAAGAAATCACCATTAATACATATAAATGATTCTAAGATAAAATATAAAGTGCACCATCTATCTGAATGGAAAGGTAAATGAGACAAGTGCAGGTGATTGAAGTAAAAGCCCACCCACCTCTTAATTCATTTCACCAATCTTCAGCACCATTAACATTATTTTTTTTTCAGAACAACTATTAATGTTTTTTTTCAAAATCTTAAATAAACATTCTGTAATAATAAGAACTTATATTAATTAATGGGTCAGAAAGCAAGAATGAGACTAACACATAGATAGCAAAAGCTTTTTTTTTTTTTTTTAATTTGTTCCCATAACAAGAAACATTATTGAAGCAAAAAGAATAAAACTTAAGATTCTCTCATATATGCTATGATATATTTATATAGAAAGATATCTAAAGACTATGCCTAAAATGTCAATAATATATAAACACAAGACCAAGTTCACAACGATCGTGAATACTCTCACAACTTTTTTGCACAGAAGGAGAAGGAAGAGATGGACATAAAGCAGAGGTACCACTTGCTCTGAATGACTTAGTTAGAAAATAGAGATAGAAACATCACCTAAAATCCCAATCTTGTTGACAGCCATTAATTACCATCTTCTTTAGCGTTACGACCATTGTTTTCTTCATTGCCCTTTTCAAAATTACGAGCATTCTGTAACCATCACAATAATATGTTGAAAGAGGAAAGCAAAAACTGTAGTAAAAAGTTTTATAACTGAAAGTGCTTCCTTGATTAGCATAGCAAATTAAAAGAAATGAAATTCATCAAATTACCATGACCTTGCACTTTAATCCATTAATCAGATTTAGATATGTTTTTGAACATCCTTAGAAGAAGTGGATACTATTTAAATAAAATGAAAAACATAATTTAGGAGATACTTTAATTAATTCGACCATGTTCTTAACTAATGATTAAGGAAAAGATTAAACAAAAAGCTATTAAAATGGTGGAAAAAAAAAAAAAACATGGGGGAAGTCTTTGGAATCATCACTACGTACCTTTTCCTTAAACAACTGTTGTACGGTGCTGTTAAGGTCCCCGACCCAGCATCTTTCACCTTTATCCCTAACAACTTCTACGCCAACTTCATCTTTATTAAAATATCATCTATTTTTTTCTCTATATCTTCGTCTATATCTTCATCCATATATTCATATACATCTCCTGTCAATTTCACTTCATACAGTCTTGGTGTGCTTAGTTCTCCCTTGGAGAAAATCTGCATATTTGGACACTCTGTAATAATTACCTCTCTCAAAGCTGGGAATATAAAGTTGCAATCCCCTGAGCAGAAGCTTTTTAGTCTTGGTAGACCTTTAAGTTGCAAACACTCCAATTCGGTGAAAACAATGCCATCATTCACAGCATTATCCGAACATACTACAATTTCCTCTATCGTCTCACAATTGGCTACTTTCATCATTTCAAGCTGCCCCAAGTTTTTGGCTGTTGAGTAACTCACTAAATTGACAAGTCCATGACACTCAGATACTACTAGAGTCCGCAAATTATCGAAATATACAGTGGAGGGAACTAAATTCTTCAATCCGCTACATTCCTGCACTTTTAGAGTTTCTAGGTTTCTGAGAATGTCTACTTCAAGTTGGGATTCTTCCTTGCAAAGATGTGTTAGCTCATGAAGTTTGGACAATCTTAATTTGCTTACTGGAGTGCGTCCACACACAGGTTTTTCCTCACCAATAACTTCTTCACATTGGAATATTTCATCGAAGAAAGAATCCTTCACAAGAAGCTTTTCGAGATTGGGCAGGGAGTGGAAGAAGAAAGGCAGAGGAAAAGCCGATTGCTTAGGAAAGCAAAGGAGGTGCAGAACTTTTAGTTTACCAAAATACTCTTCTGGACGAAGTCCACACTGTATCTTTAGATTGTCATTCCATTTCACAACCAGCCGTTCTAGACTAGGAAATGTAGCCTGAGAAATTGACACGAGTTAAGATGACAATTCAAACTTTAAATAAATCTATTATTCTTTGATAAATTTATCATTTCAAAGTTACACAATAAATCTTGATTTAAAAAAAAAAATAATTCTTTTACCCTTACTTCTAACCATAAAAATCGATTTCCACATTTTTTTTCCACTGAAAAATCACTTCATCTCACATAAACGCATCTATTTTTTCTTTCTTTATTATTGTTTTGTTTTAGCAATTCTTCCATTTTTCTATCACTTCAATCTTTATTTTTTCAAGCATATATTCTATGTACTAAAAAAAAAAACTGTTTTTTCTGTCACTCTTACTATTTCCTTAAAAATTGTAATTTCTTTACTATTTGGTCCCGCATGCTGCAACACGGGGTTGTCCAGCTAGTTTGTTACATAAGTTTGAGTGTCTCTTTGTTTTTTGCCTTTTTTTTTGGTTGGCTTTACTATTTCTATCTTTTAAATCATTTGCTGATGTAAGGATGTTTGTGAATGAGTTTATTCAGTGGTGAAGGCAGTTAGATTTGTACTTAGAAAATAAGAGGTCGAGATAGATTTGATAGAGTTTAGAAAAGGGGTTGAATTTGATTGAATCCATCTAATTTGTGATTTTTTTAGCCTTAAAGAAATGTTTTCAGGAGGGGGGTTAACATGTTCTTGAGAAATGGTGTTTGGTCTTTGTTTTAATAGTTATTATGACTAGCAGGCTGTTCCATTTTGTTATTGATTGATAAAAGATCGTGCATTCTCGTTTCACTTAATCCACTTTTCTTGATGCTTAATCCCATTTACAGCCTGCAGTAGTTTTTTTTGGTTTGCTGTCCTTGATGTATTCTCATTTTATGATGCCTCCATTGTTGTTCTTTGTCATGAAGAAGTCTGGCCTTTTCAGATCCAACTTATTTCATTTAAATGGATTGGCTACTGCACCCTGGAGGTTTTAAGTATTTTTTATTTATTTCTCCTATGTTATGATATCTCTTAATTTTATTTTCTTGCTGGATTTGGCTAGAGAATTATAAATGCTAGGTGTCCAATTTAATTTTTTGGTAAATGAGGTGAAAAAAAAGAAGCTTGAGGAAAAGAATGGCATCATCATGTGCTGTGGGTACTTTGTTTTCTTAACCTGTTATGCATCATCATGTGCTGTGGGTACTTCTACATGGTAAATGTGTTTGATTGTTATTTCTTTGGTTAATACTTGCCGCTGCGTTTGGGTGGTTGTGTATGTTGAAGATATAGGAAACCAAATTAACCAATGAAGGAATCTGACTTGAATACTGAACCTGTTGGCCAAAACCTGTTAAAGTTGATAAGCAATCTATGTTTCTCAGTGTTTCTCTTCTCAGTTTTTATATATTATATACTAGATTATGCTTCTTACATATGTCAATCCTTTTTAACATTAGCAACTACTTAAATAAAAGAAATTGGATTCTATTTAGTTTTTTGGCGGTGACAGGTGAATATATACTTAAATGTTTACTTTTTTAGGTTGACTAACTGATTAACTGTCTACATATCAATTTGTTTTTGGATGGTTATTCTTATACTTGTGCAATAATTTCTACCGAACGCCAGTAACTTTGCTACTTAACCATGAATGAGATATTTTGCTCCGTCATTCGACTTAACGCAATAACTTCGCTACCCATCTGCAACACCTTACTGCTGCTGTGCTGTCGGTGCAGCTTTCATTTGCATTTAATTTGCTGCCCACTGTTGCAACTTTAACACCACAACTCCACTACACTCCTCGATGCTGAAGCTTTTCCTTTTCCTTTTTAGATAACGTGATACATTAGATATTCAGTGGTTACAACCATTCTGGGAAGAACATTCCCAATAGCATTACAGTACAAAAGGTAAGATAACAAACGTGAGCAGGGCAATGTTCATACAAAACAAAAGCAGAATGTAAATTAGGGCCTTTCTTAGCAAGGCAATTAACTACACAATTGGCCTCTCGATTGGTGTGGATAAATTGAGCGTCGAGGAGCTGAGTCATCATAACCTTGCAATAAAAGATAAAGAGCTCTCAGTGAGCAAATTAAATTTTTCATCTCCAGATTCAATAAGGAGTTTAGCAACCTCAGAATCAGTTTCAATAATCAGTTTGTTAAACCCTCTATGTAAAAGCAAGAGAAATCCTTGCTGTCAAAGCTGCAGGAAATAAGAAATTTATCATAACATTTAAAATCTACCAATTACCGTCCCCATATGCTTTTGTTTTTTATGCCAAGGCCATCTTCCCTAGCATGTCAGCTCCTCCTATATTGCTGTGGCTTCATCTTGCTTAGATTTGCTGCTTAAACAAATTCTTGGGGATTTCCTGAGCTTTTCTGCAAGTTGTTGAGTTTTCTTTCTTTTCCATTTTCATGTACAGCCTTTTTTTTCCATTGGCTGTGATACCATTTTATATCTTTCTAAAAAGAGTAGAGTGGAGAGAGAACACCCGAAAGAAAAGGAGAAACACCCAGAGTTCCCTCTGTTGAAGAGGTGCAATTTATTATCTTTCATTGATGTTCTGCTGTTTATAGCAAAAATAATACAACATAAAGAGTGTTCTCTACTAATGCAATACCTTCTGCATAACGCATTAACTTTGCTACCTAACCTGTTCAATAAGACGTAAAAGTTTGTTGTCATTTCTTGCAGCCCATGTGCTGCCCCAAAGTTGCATTCACTTTGTTTTTTCTTCAGTGCAGCTTTTTTTTTTCTTTTTTTTTTTTGGTAAATAGTGCAGCTTTTTCTTTAGTAAAGT